TCACTAATCATCTCTAGATCTTGCAGCTGCAGAGATTCAGCTACGAACGCGGTTAAGCTCTTCAACCGTTGGAGCTTTGATGATGTTTCGGTAAATTCCTCACCGATTTAATCATTGTTTTGTTGTTTTGAAACCGTTAAAAAGTTGTTAAAGCCGATATGCTGCTTATTAGATTTAGTCGTTTAGATTCAGTCTCTTGATTGACCTGTTATGATATAAGTGAATCATTTGATTCATACCTCAAATTCATATCGAACATTATTGATATGTTCTGTTAATCGTATTAGTTTGATTCTTTTGTTATCTTTAGTTGTGGATTGCATTTGATAGTGTATTTGCATTTGTTCTGTTCTGCATTGTGGATTATTCGGATAGAAGTTGTGAATTGTTCTGATCTGTTCTGGATTGCATTTGATAGAAGTTGTGGATTGTTCTGATAGAAGCTGGTATTGCATTTGGTAGTGTAGTTGTGGATTGTTCTGATCTGTTATGCATAGTGTAGTCATTGCCTTAACTGAATTAAACTGATAATAAATGAACTAAAATAATCTTATTTACACAGCTCACCTAAACTGAAATAAAGTTATTGGTTATTGATGGTGATGGAGATATTAGGCAGCTAAGGCAATGACTTAAATTTTCATACCTAACCCGAAATGAATACAGTAGGTTAACTCATTTACTGAAAAAACTATCTTGTTAATAACTCCAAATCTCACTGTCTTGTTAATTGTATTAGTTTGATGGTTTGGTTATATTTAGTTATGGATTGCAATTGTCTTGTTTTAATCACTTGTTTTTTCTTGTTTTTTTTATGGAGGAACTGTGGTGGTCTATTTGTGGATGCTTGGTTGATGTTAACGAGTTTGCAGAAAGGCCATTGAAGCCGTATCTCTTCAGCAGATCACAGAGTGGAGAGGTTAGTAATTAGTTCTGTCTCAAGTTATTGTTCTCTCTTCTTTGTTGATGTCATAATGATGGTGCTTTAGGTGTAGTTGGTCAGTAAATAGTTATGTCTCAGTAACTGAACTAATATAATTTACACCTAAACTGAAGTAAAGTTATTGGTAATTGATGGTGATGAGACATAAAACAGCTAACTTAATGACTCAAATTTCCAAATCTAACCCGAAATGAAAAGAGAAAGTTGCACATTTACTGAAAAAACTATCTTCTTAATGACTCCAAATCTCTCTTGAGCAGAATAAAATCTAACCAAACTCTTTGCTTAACTCCTCTCAAATCTGATTAGGTTGCTTACTAAAATGGATATGAATTTTACCAATCCAAACTTCACCGATCTCTTGAACAGCCAACAAGAGATCATCTTTCCAAAAACTTTTTCCCAACAACAATCACCTTTAACTGATCATAGGT